TCACCGGCCAAGGGGGTGCGGGCCGCCCAACCACTTGTTCTTCGCAAGTGGATACCACGCCAGTGTGCCGGGGCGGGTGTCTTCAATGAAAGAAGAATCATGCTAAACTGTAAAGCAGCCGGCTCGAGCCCGATAGGAAATCGCGCATGGCTCGCGGTGCGCTAATTAGGTTTAGCGGTCCTGTGGAGGATTTAGCGCTCGAAGTAGCGCTAATCCTGCAGCCGCCTGCCCGCCTTCCCATTCTCCCGGCTGTCCCCTACCGGTATCTTGTGAACACTGTTCTGGCTGCTACGGGGTTCCCCGTATGCCTACAATTAGGAGTAGTGGTAGGTAGTGTGAGGTGAAATTGAGAGAAGAAGGAAAAAAAAAAAAAAGAAAACACCCCAAATCCCGAAAAAAAAAAAAAAAAGAACCTACACCCCAAGTTCAAATCCAGATGCCCAAAAAACTGAAACAATTTGAGGACGTGGCTCCTCGGTCCTGATGTAGGCCCGCAGGAGGACCGCTGCTACCAGCAATCGGGAAGCATAGAGGAGACAGAGTAGAAACTGAGTCGTGTTAGACTCGGGGGGTGTAGCCTTGGGGAAGGTTTGCCCAGTTCCAGGGTGAGGATGGTTCAGGGTTGAGGGTGGAATAGGGGAGGCTGGTAGGGGATTATAGGGGTAGAGGTCTGTGTTAGGGGGTGTAGGGTGTTTGAGGGTAGCTGGTGTGAATGGGTCAGCTGTGGGAGACTGGTAGAGGTGGTAAGGTAACAGCAGCAGCAATAGATTTTCAGACAAGTGTCAGACAAATACAGATGTGGTCAAGTGGTTCTGGTATACTTTCAGGAGCTAAACCGGCTGATGCTGCCGGGATAACTCCGGGTTGAATTGTGAGGTCCCCGGCCTCATGACAGCATGTTTTTGTTCTGAATATAATGAATGTGGTTAAAAAAAAAAAAAAAAAAAAAAAAAAGTGAAACAATTTGGCAGCGTGGCGATCCCGGCATGCGCATGGCGCGGCACTTTTCGGCGGAATCTTACCGAATCTGACCACAGTTGAGCTCTCCGATGCATGCAGGAAAGTCCAATTGAGCGATGATTTCCGTTTTGAGGCTCCGAAAGCTTTTTGGCGCCAAAGGAGCGGGAGCGAAGTCCCAATGGGCGGGAATATTTATTTCGTCTTTCTTTCCTAAACCGGTAGCCCCGCCAAAGGAGCGGGAGCGAAGTCCCAATGGGCGGGAATATTTATTTTGCCTTTCTTTCCTAAACGGGTAACCCCCTCGGATCTTTTGATCAAATCAACAGTTAGAATAGTGCGGTGTATTGTTTTTCTTTTCTTTGCCCTTTCGTACCGGGTGTATCTTTCAACGTTCTAGCAGAAAATAAGTTTCTCCATCCGCGTCGTGGCGGGTGTATCCTTACACATTTTAACAGAAAATACATGCCCTATCCTGCAATTTTTTTTTCTTTTTCTTTAATCTATCCTGCAAAATTTGGCGAGCAGTGCGGAGAGGTACCCAGGGCCGTGGTCCCATTAGCAAAGAGCATCGGATAGGATGCCTGAATCTGGACGTGTTTGAGGACAGGAGCAGGAAATCGAGATAGAACTGCTTTTCTGTATCTCTGGATAAAACATAGCCAGATTCAGGATTTGTATCCTATCCCCTTCGCTAGTGGGACCACGGCCCAGGGGCCAAGTCCCACTAGCAGCGTTGAGCTACCTCATCTCCTGAATCTGGACGCTTTGGTGGATACGTGCAGTTCAGCAAACTCAACACCATTTCTGCTCATCTCCGCAAAAACGTCCAGATTCAGGCGCTGAGGTAGCTCAACGCTGCTACAGTAGTGGGACTCGCCCCCAGCGACGGAAGAGCGGTATCTGACACGGATTCTACGGATTGTCCCCGTTCCTGGATGTATTTGGCGGGAACTAAGGGCGCAGTGGATGTATCTGGTCGTGATTAAGGCCCAATGACCGGTCTGAAAACTGTGACTGGCCGCATGCGACGAGAAGCTAGAAAAAAGTCGGCAAAGAGAAAAAAAAAAACAAACAAAATCCTTCCCAAAAAAAAACAAAAAAAAAAAAACAAAAAAAAGAATATCCAAAGGGCAGAAATGCGCGTTCGTCGGCGTGGTGTCTTCTTGTACTACTCGGAGGGGAGGAAGTCCGCGACCGGGGGACCCCTGTAAGCCCCTGAATGGAGCGCATGGTCATTATCGTTGTATCTAGACTGAAAGGCGATCCAATGCATCTTTAATGACCGAGCGTTCTACTCGGGGGGGTTAGGTCCTACTTACACGAATTAAGCGATATTGACCGTAGATATAGCGAAGATCAACGGCCAGAATCTCTTAATCCGTGCAAGTGGGACCTTGCCCCGGGAGACGAACAAACTAAACTTTAAACTAAACTTCGGGTGCCACTGCGCAAATCATGTCTGCGCTTTTGCGCTTAGCATTTTCGGGCCCCAACGTCTCATGAATCTGGTCCACTGGATGAATCTCGTCGCACGACGAATCTGGTCCGCAGGATCTGCTTTTGTGGCCGCGGCAGGCGAAGTTGGGCGGTGCTGGCGGCCAAAGAGCGATGCTCGGTAATGGAGGGTCGAATCCCACTAGCCCCTATTGTTCATTTCTGACCGTTGATCTTCGTAATCGAGGGTAAAAAATGAATAATGGGATCGGACCCAGAGAAGTGGAAAAATTGAGAACACAGAGGGAATAGTCTACAGTGTAGTGTCTATAGAGAGAATAGTCTACAGTGTAGAGTCTATAGAGAGAATAGTCGACAGTGTAGAGTCTATAGAGAGAAAAATCGATAGTGTAGAGTCTATAGAGAGATAGTCTATAGAGAGAATAGTCGAAAGTGTATAGTCTATAGAGAGAATAGTCGAAAGTGTAGAGTCTATAGAGAGATAGTCTATAGAGAGAATAGTCGACAGTGTAGCGTCTATAGAGAGAATAATCGACAGTGTAGAGTCTATAGAGAGATAGTCTATAGAGAGAATAGTCGANTCTATAGAGAGAATAGTCGACAGTGTAGCGTCTATAGAGAGAATAATCGACAGTGTAGAGTCTATAGAGAGATAGTCTATAGAGAGAATAGTCGACAGTGTAGAGTCTATAGAGAGAATAGTCGACAGTGTAGAGTCTATAGAGAGAATAGTCGACAGTGTAGAGTCGATAGAGAGAGAGTCTATAGAGAGAATAGTCTATAGAGAGAATCGTCGACAGTGTAGAGTGGAAGGAAAGCAACGAGGGAAGAAAAAGGAAAAAGGGAAACAAAAGTGGAAAAAAAGGGAAAAAAGGGGAAAAGGAAAAGGAGAAAAATAGGTGGGGGTGGTGGTTGGGAGAGGCGGGAGCTGAAGGGGAGGGTAGGGGGGCAGAAGCGGAGGACGGTGGGGGGAGATTGGGGGTTGGGGCGCGGGTTGGGCCACGAGGAGCACGGGCACTGCCGCTGGGGCTGGGGGAGGGGGACACCGAGGGTGTGAGAGATGGGAGAGAGGGGAGACAGTAGCCGCAGTCATCGACCGAGCAGTGATAGTGCTCTTGCGCAACCGGACCAGGGGGACGGTATCATGATGAATGATGATGGGGGTGTTCGATCTTCGTAGAAGGGAGCGTGATTGATCTGACTGATGACAACGGACGTGCGCGCATGCTAATTTCCATGAGCCTGTCTATGTACTCGATAGATAGATAGATAGATAGATAGATAGATAGATAGATAGAGAGAGAGAGAGAGGGTGGAGAATGGGGAAGGGAGGGACGGGGAATAGAGCAAAGAAGGGGATGGCTGTTGCGAAATGGAAGTGGCGGGAATAAGCAGAAGAAGGCGGGGAAAAGCAGATTAGGTAGGAGAAGAAGGGATGAGGGCGGGAAAATGGGGTCCCTGGCGGGAAAATGGTCCCAGCGATGGCCGTGAAGATGAATGTGAGTGGCTATGGTGGCGCGCAGTGAGAGGCTGAGAGTCTGCATGATAGAGAAGAAAAGCAGGGGCAAGGTTACCGAAGATGGAGAAGGGCAGGGAGAGGAAGGAGAGGGAGGGAGAGGGAGGGAGAGGAAGGAGAGGAAGGGAGGTAGGCAACGAGGGAGGGCGTGAAGAAGAAGAGCAGCATCCGACGGCTATGGTTACTAGGCGAAGGTAGCATCAGCAATTGAGGGTGTTTGATGAGGAGGAGAAGAGGAGGAAGAGGAGTGGGAGGAGGAAGAAGAGGAGGAAAAAAAGAGGAATTTGGATTTCGGACCAGGATTGGTTCTACGTTGCGCTCCTTTTTTTCTTTTTTTTTTTTTCTTTTTTTTTTTTTTAGGAAGAAATCATAACTTTTGAGTACAGCAGAAAGAGGCCGGGAATACCTCACAAACGACCTGGAACGGTGGTTTATAGAGGAAGGAGCGTATCTTTT